GACGTGCGGCAGCCTGCGGGGCGGGGAAGGGTGAGTGCCCAAGGTCAGCTGAATCTGCGTCAGAGCCGGGGTCTGAATCCCAAATCTGGGCATCAGCCAGAGCCTGGAAGAGCAGACTGAGTTGTGCCAACACCAACAGCGAAGTCTCGTTGACCACGGGTGGCCTGATGGCTTTTAGCCTTGTTTTTGGAAGGTGGAGGTGCGTGTGTGTGTGTAGATGCAGAAAAAGGATGAATTTTGATCTGTTTGGTAGCTTTGAGCTAGGATAGAGCTTGTGATAGGCTGAGGTGCCCTGAGTCATGCTTAGAGGGTGATGTTGGGCTCAGCACCATTTGTTGAAGGTCGACCAGGAACGGTGGGCAGAAGGGCCACCTAAATCCCACATGCCTTTAGGAAGGCTGTAATAAGGCAGCCAAAAGGCAAGAAAACAGCCAGCCTGCTGGGCTCTTGCTCCTCCTGCAGCTCCTGTGGTGGGTCTCAGGTACATCTAACAATGAGGGCTTGTTCACCAGCGAAGGAGGAGCTGGAGCCTTCATGTGCCAGCACCACGGGCCCAGCGCGTGGGCTCCACCCAGACACAGCGGGCACCGGGGGCACCAAAAATGGAAAGAAAACCTTTTAAAATCCACATTTTATAGCTGCCTTTCTTTTGTCCCCGGGGATTGCTGGCGCTGTGGGCGAGGGGCCCTTTCAGCCAGGCTCACGCTGCTTTCTGCACTGGGGCCAGAGGGAAGAATGAGTGTTTGTCTCTGTTTGTGGCCCATTGTTGAGGTGCTTCCCTGAGGGTGGCAGAAAGGGGCTGCAGAAAGTGGGGGGCATTCGTTCAGCTCAGGGGTGAATTTTGCCATCGAAATCAGGGCCGGGCCCTCGCTGTGGGGATGAAGGTGAGGAAGGAGAGGTGGTTGGGGGGGTTAAGGAGGAAGCAGAGATGTGGAGGACACACTGCCCGGTCCCCAGCACCCCCAACTCCTTGTCCCTCCCTCAGCCCAGCTGTGGTGCTGGCAGGAGGGGCAGCCACCCCAGCCTGGGGACGAGGCCTCCAGAGCCCAGGGAGAAGGATCTGTGGTGCGAGTTCACCACTGTGCTTCCCCTTGTTCTCCCCCCCATGCTCCACTCCCCTTCGGCTGTCAGATCAGATCTGTTGGCCATTTGTGCTCCTGCCTCTCTCCCACCCCTCAAACCACCTCTGGGTCCTCCATCCCTTTCGCTGTCGTTGGCTTTTGATGTTTCAGACAGGCATATGGTGGCCGGCCTGTCTGCCTCGCTCCTCATCCATCACCCGCTATTCACCATGGCAGCAGCTCCTGAGGGACATTTGGGTTTAAAGGGTGACATGTCCCCTCCTCTTACCCACTCCTACATCTTTCAAGCTTCCTTGTGTCAAGCTTCTCAGTCTGTTTTGGCATCTGTGTGTCATTAGCAGGGAGAAGTTGGTTTGGGTTTTTTTTTTTTTTACATAGATCATTTTCTGAACTTTCCCTGCTTTGGTGTCACGTGGAAGCAGGAGGGAAGGAGAGGTGAGGCTGCAGCATTCTCTTCTGTAAGGAGAGCTGCCTTGCTCTGCAGCCCCTGGACGTGGGCTGATGTCCTGCCCTGCTCCTCTAGCCCGTGTGCCTCGGGGGTGAGTAGGAGACCCCACCCTGGTCACAGAGGCTGTGTTAGAATTCACAGCATCCCAGCAGCAAACCTGCACCACGTCCCTGCCGAGCAGATGCCAGCACCACCCTGTTCCACCGGGCCCGTGCTTTGGAGGGTGAAGCCAGCTGGAGTTGCCTCCCCAGGGGTGATCTGTGGTCCTGTGGGGTGCCCTCGGCAGCGCTCGGGGACGTGGGGCAGGGGCAGGGCTGCCTGGGAGGGGTGGCAGAGGGCAGAGGGTGTGCTGGTGGCCTTGGCGAGTGCAAATAGGCCCAGGGATGGGTGGTGAGTGTGTGGCTCTTCCTCACAGCCCGTGGCAACTCTCCAGCTTGCCCCAGCTGTTGCTTTTGGGAAGTGTGTAGGCGGTGGGCAGGAGTGAAAGGTTCAGTTTGACGTGATGGCTTTCCATTAAGCCATAGAGAAGAATTACAGGTATCACAGCAGCCAGCCAGTCTTTTCAGCCTTCTCTCTGGAGACCCAGACCCCGCAGGAAGCCTCTTGTAGTAGGAAAATTCTTTTAAGCTCCAGGTTTTT